GATTTTGAAGTTCTATTATTAGTGTATTATCTAAATATAAAGAATTTGGTTTAGTGCATAAAGGGTGTTTATTTCATCAAAAACAAGCTATTACATAATTTATTAAAATGAAAGGACTTCAGACCGAATATCTTAACACTAAGGATTTTAAAGAAGCTGTCAAACTGTTGGAATCGGTGTGTTTTTTGAAAGAAAATGACATAGTAGACGCAGTCAAAAACATTGAAATGTGGTTTCAACATTTAGACAACTTTAAAGTTGTTCTTGAGTATTTCAAAAGAGTGTGGTTATTTGGCGATTTTAAAAAATCACTTTGGTGCTAATATCTTCGTGATAAAAAAACAAATAACGATTGTGAATCATATCACGCAAGCTTGACTCGAAAACTTGATTTTTCAAAACCAAAGTTTTGGCGTTTTGTGAAAAAAATGGAGAAGTAATTGAAAATGTGTCAAAAGATATTGAACAAATGAAAAATGGGATTTTCAGAACACAAAACAGTAAAACGGCTATAAAAACTGAAATACTCAGATATTTGACAAATAATTATTATACTGAAGAAATCAATTTATTCGCACTTTTATCCAAAACAAGCCAACACATCGATGATATGAATATGGAAATACATTTTGGTTTTGACAGTGAAGATAATGTTAATGAATTTGATACAAATGACGACGAATGTCAAATAACAGAAGGGTTTGAAAATAGTAGAATGTGTCCAATGGATGAAAATACAAATTTAAATCATGATCAATTTGATGATGTAAAAGTATCAGAAAAAAGTTTTTTCAACTATGGCGAAAAAGAACACTCACAAGAATTTATGATGGTTCCAGATTTATTGAATGATACTAGAACAAAAAGAAAAACAAGAAGAAGAAAAATTACATTGATTACTAAAATACGTAAAGAATACGAAAACCCGAAAAATTTAAACGAATTTTGAACATTTTTTTATAATAAATAATAATTAAATTGACAAAAATATACACAGTGATTATATAAATGTTTATAATATAAATATATGATAAAATATCATTTTTGATTTAATAATTGTTTCGTTTTGTTATAATGTGTTTAAATAATGCAACACAAACACAATCAATTTCAAATAATTTTTAAAATAAATATTTATTGATTCATTATACAAAATAAATAATCTGTTTAGACATTTCAACTATGTTTTTCAAGTTTAATTATAATATCCATTCAATATAATAAATAAAAAAGATTGGTTAGACATACCGAAATTGTTTTATTATTACAATATACAAAAATTTTAAAAAATTCAAAAATAATGATTATAAATTCAATTGTGTATTTTAATCAGTTTATATTATATTGATAGACAAAAATGATTTGAACACTTTTGCAAATAATGGATATTATATTTGGTGTGTTTTACACGCAATTAATTTATAAAAACAAGATATATATTATAAAGATAATTTTAAGATGAATCGTTTTATATGTAACTATTTATATACACTGCCGTCATATTATAATGTTTTGTGACCTGGAATGTTGTAAATAAAGACAATTAAATGTATATATAATATAAAAATAAACGATTTCGTTAAAATTTCTTTGATATTTATAAATAATAGCTAACAATTCTTGTTATTTCAAAAAAAGAATATTCGATAAACAAATAAATTATTTTTTTGTAAAGTATCGTTATAAAGAATATTTTTAATAATTTAAGAAAATATTCGAAGTTTCCAAAACATTTTTGGTGAATTGTCATTTGGTGAAATGTACCCAACTCGTTTTTATGTAATTTGTTCATTAAATAAGTGTTGTTCATTATAAGTTTTGTTGTATTTTTTTTTACCAATTGACTTACTTAATAACCAGTTGTAAAATGAAAAAGTAAATTAATAAATATTATAATTTAAAACATATAAATGTTTGAAATATAGTAGTACAGATTTATGAAAGCAGTTCATATACGTGTATACTTTCATATTAACAATAAAAATAATCATATTGATGTTAATATTTTTAATGAGTTTAGATGTTTTATAATGACTTAAATATAATGATTAGTATATTAATCAAACTATAAATTATTGTATTTATGTATTATTACATCTAAAATGGTTTTAAATACTCAAATAATCATCAAACTCTTATTTAATGTTTAAAGAGCAATCACCAACGCAAAAACAGCAAGAACAACAGCAACAGCAGCACTGCCTTCAGTTGGTTGGACGTAGTCTTTGCAGTGTCCTTCTTTATCAGCCAAATAATATCCATTGACAAACGACTCTTCACAAACAATGCACTTGGCGTCATCGTTTCTGGTTGAGCAGGTATCATCATCAACGCAGTTGTTGCCTTCCTTTTTGTATCCATTGGCACACGTCTTGCACGTGTGGTCTTTGTTGTAGATCAAGCAGTTTGCAATAGCTCCATAAGCGATGCATTCGGTCGCACTCTTGACACATCCACCCGTACATTTGGCATCACACTTTTGGCATGTGTATTGACCGTCGATATAATACCCACCCTCGCATGATATACATTTGCCTGGTCTTGAGATGTCGTACATCAAGCAATGAGTAGCCGGGTAGCACTTTGCTTCATCACCGCCCTTTTTTGTATAGGAGCATACAGCACTGCATTTAGTGCAGTAATCTTGTGTGTTATCCGCATCACTGTTGAATGAATCACACTTGCCGTCACACGCCAAGCATTTCCCATCAACAGTGAGGTAATACCCAAGTGGACATGCGGTGCATTTGGTGTCTGAATTGCCTTCGGAGCAGGTGGCACATGATGAGTGACATTTTGCGCATTTTTGTTCATCACTAACATAAACATATCCGTATTCACACATTGTGCATTTCTGGTAATTGTCTGACACGCACATGGTGCAACCGGTGTCACACTTCTTGCAGACCTTCCCATTCAAAGCATACCCAGTTGCACACGTGGTGCATGTTGCTGGATCTGAAGCATCACAGACGTTGCAGTTCTCACCGCACTTGTAGCACTTGTGATTGGTTGAATCAAGATTGTAACCAGCAATGCAATATATACACTCATTCATATTATTTTCGTTGCATGAAGCACAACCAGTCCCGCACTTCTCGCATTTGTCGTTGTTGAGTCCATACTCATAATCACAAGCAGTGCACTTGGTTGCAGCATCAGCTTCGTCGCATTGAGTACAATGATCAAGGCATTTGTAACATTTTTGTGATGTTGTAATTTTATAACCATTTGCATAGTCGCAAACATTACATTTGGAAACATCTCCATCAACACATGTAGTGCACCCCTCAACTTCACACTTCTTGCATTCTCCATTCACCAGAGTGTAACCAGCAGCACACTTTGTACAGACAGTCGCATCTGCATTACACTGAATACAATTGGTCTTCTCGCAGATGGTGCAATTGCCAGACTTGAGACCATACCCCACCACACAATTTGTGCATTCGGTTTGGTCAACAGAAGTACAATATGGGCGATACTCACAGTTATCACCAACCAACTTATATGACACTTCACAGGTATTGCAGCTGTCTTTGTTGTTGTAAGTGATGCAATGCGGAAGAGTCCCAAGAACACAATTCTTGTTGTCATCAACATAATACCCATTGATGCAAGTCCCACATTTCTTGTTGTCTGTTGCATCTCTCATAACACAATTTGGAATTCTGACACATTTGTTCGACTCCAAATAATATCCACTTGCACACGTGGTGCATGTCCCACAGTCGGGATTTGCATCCATACAACCCTTGTTTTGTTCAGTGCAGTTCTTGCATGACTCGTCGTTGATATTTGTGATGGAGTTGCAATATTTACAGGTCATCTCAGTGTCATAAACATTGACTGTGCAATACTCGTCACCTTCAACACATTTGGTGTTGGCAACATCTTTCTTGTATCCATGTGCACAAGTCACACACGTGTCATCCCTGAAAGTTTCGCACCCCATGTCTCTCTTGTAGGTGCAAGTAGTCTTGTCCGCATTCAGTACATAATTGGCAAAGCATGTTTGGCAATTGTTTTTATCACTTGTTAATGAGTAGCAATACGATCCAGTAAACTCGGCATACACAGAAAAGACCAGTGTCAAACAAAGAACAGTCAGCATTCGATGTTATTTACAACAAATCAGTTCTTTTTATAGTACACAACACGACAGCATAACATGTAGGGTTGAATGGATCAAATCATCACTTCGAAATTGATATCAAATTTATGTATTCTGTTTTTGTTGAGTTTATTTTTATTATAATTGGATGAATAAATGAATAATTTATTAAATATTGAACACTTTGACAAATTCCATACAACTAATAATTCGTTTTTATTCGTTAATTATCGGGTATTTAAAGTAATTTGCATTTTATCAAAATGTTTTTGGTGTTATAATTCAATTGGTTATTATATCTAATATCTGCAAAGTTCTCATAAAATATTCCTCTTTTTCAAACTAAATAAACTCATAAAAAACTAAAAACTGAAAATATTTTTCAATAAAAATAACAATAAGTCTTATTTTCGAAAAACACATGTTTTACAACAAATAATTAATTTTTAACAACAAAACCACCGAAAACTCGGTAAAAATTCAATAAAACAACAATTTTAAATAAAAACCATTTGAAATACTTTGGTAAAGTAAAACTTCAATTTAAACACTAAAAAACTAAAATTTAGTGTTAGTTAGTAAATGTTATTATATACATTTAATAAACATAAAAATAATAATCATATAACGTATTTAATTGTTTTTAATAAATACCAATAAATTACCATATAATAAGTAATTGTATATAATTTAATATTATTAATATTTGCTTTGAATTAAATCCATCCATATTATATTATCACCATCTCGTGTAATTAATCAAATTAAAACATCATAAATTGTATATACGTATATAAAACAATTAATTTTTTATTACAATTTCACAAATAAAAGTGCAAATTGTGATTAACAATAATACCAATTTATTTTTAAAAAACAAAGAGTTGTGTATATTGTTATAACATGTTGATGCATTTTAATTAATTAAATATTACTCAATTGTTTTTTTTTCAAAAAAGAATGATATTTAAAAAAGATAAGAGTGGTTCGATCAACATAATTTTTGTAGAAAACATAACAATGATGTTTTCAATTTGTCATAAAAGTTTGTTGATATAGTTAATAACAATTGGTAAAGTAGTTTATTAAATTTGTGTTTTTGTAATTAAATATTATTTTAGTGAAATAATTCACTGTTATTGTAAAATTTATAACATCAATTAATTTAAAACTTTGACTTTATCATTAAAGAGAAGAGAAAAATTCGCACCCAAAGAAAAACCTGCACCCTTTTTATAATTATTATTTTAATCACTATTATTGTATTATTTACTTCCAGAACATTATAAAAATAAAAAGGGTGGGTCATTTTTCTTTATTATTAATTCTTTTTATTTTTTCACATGTTTATTTTTATTTTCATCATTTTCAAATGTTGAAAATAGGAATAAAACAACATTGTAATTAAATATTAACATTTTAATTACTTAAAAAACTATTATTTTATTAGAATAATACTATTACAAATAATACTTTAAAATGGCTTACTTAGAATCCCAATCCTTTTTGTTCATCAACTTACCCTTAATAATGTCAGATATCTTCGATTATAAATCGTCAATTTCCGCTTGAGCAATTTTATTTTTAAATTTTCGAGCCAATCCACCATACACTGATTCTGGGAACAATTTATCACCCAGCCATTCTTGTGCTCCAGAAGTGAGTCCCTCGCGCCCTTTTCCAATCAGCGAGTCACTTATTGTATTTTTGTTGATATCTCCCGTAATCGCTGCCTATAATAAATTCTCGAGAGCTTTTGTACCTCCAATCGCAAGTCCTTATATACTGTGCCAAGTCCACTTGTTGCAATTGCCCCTTTAAAGGGATTCATGAGGATTGTTACTTTTTCTGAGGATGGTAAATATCTTACACATAATTTCTTTCAATTTAGATTTTTTTGCCTAAGATCAAAAAGGTATATTTTGAAACACATGATTTTCTTTAAAAATGCTATTTATGGATTTTTTGAAAGATGATTCTTTCAGTTGATTTTTACAAAAAAAGTAATCTATTTCTATATTCTGATTTACCACAAGACCAACTTTGGTTTATATGAAAACATTTGACAGACATATAAATTATCGAAAAAGTCGATTTTTTAATCAAAATCACAAAACAAATTAATATAACAATTTTTAATCTTTTTTACAAAAATAATTTATTAAAAATCAATTCATGATATTTCAAACACTAAAAATTGATAGCAAATAACGTATTAATAACGTATACTCTATGCGATGACAATTTATGTATTTGCGCAAATTCAAAAAGAGAGGTTTTGGATATCGATAAAACAACGATTGATAAATGAACAAATTTTTAAAATAAAATCATTTTTGTTTTAAACGGCTTTATTTATTTTTCAAAACATATATACACAAGAAATAAATGTTTATATTATTTTTTATACAATATCAATTCTCAATGAAAATGTGTTCAATTTATTAATCAATTTTATATATTAATTGGCGTTTTTGTTGTGTTTTGACGATTTTTGATATAATCAATTATCAAAACTCACTTTATAAAAATTCTTTGATAATTATATTTATAGAATTTTAAATCAATAGTGTCAGTGCTATAAATATCTCTGAGGATGGTAAGTCGTGTAACAAACAGACTTTATCAACACAGACTTAAAAACCTAAGAAGTGAAATGACGTGTTCCCATATTCAAAAATAGTAACTTACTCAATATACATTTCAGATAGATGTAAAAGTGTAAACTTTCTATTTCTGTCATCCTCAGAAAATAATTGCCATCCTCAGAACTGTAAATCTGTTTAAAACATAAGTTAATATCAAAATGAAACAATCATATTAAATTATACACAATATGATTAACTTTGTTATTATAATAAATTTGAATAATTGCATAAATTACAAAATTATTTATAAATTTGTTTTTTAAAAAATGCATTATTATTAAATCAGTGTTTTCGACTGTTTCAATTTTCATTTTGATAAAAAAACAATTATCAATTTAAACGTAAATTTCAATTATTATGTTATAAAGACGGATTCGGAAATAATCTCAATAAGTTTATAATTATAATATGAACAAGTTGAATACACGTTTTGTTATTTCCCGTCTCAAGTTCGCGAGATATAATTATTGTTTTTGTTTACTGATTATTGTGGCGATTTTTTGATTGTTTTTACTTTTTTGGCATTTATGACAAATTATTACCATCATTTAAAATTTGAACTTTGACTCGAAATATTAAGTGTAAATTATAACTTGAGTTATGAAAGTGGGCCTTATGGGGAACTGAACCTTATGGATTTGTTTTTGTATCCTCAGAAAAATATTTTTTAATAAGGATAGCTTTAATCCTGAGGATACACCTTATCCTCAAGAAACCCTTTAGTTGTGTATTTTTTGAAAAAGAACATATTTTATTAGTCATTTGAACTATTATTTATTAAAATAAATAATAGTCTATTCAAAATAAATAAATATAAATCAAATACCTTTCTTTAAAATCCAATATAAAAATTGACCATACCTTGGATCTATATTGGGTTTTACAAATAAATCGAAAGTTTGATTTTTACAATAAAGTTTTTATTATGAACACTTGTAAAAAAGTCAGGTATGTACAGTTGGTCAAATAATCCTATAAAATTGGAAGAATAGTATAAAAACGAGGGTTATGATACTAAATTTGAAGTATTTGTGGCTATTTTTGTATTTTAACAAGAAAAACATAAAAATCCATATTCTACTTTTTAATATTTGGAATGTTTTGCTAATTTTCCCGCTTTTTAGCCCCAAAAATAAAAGATAATATATTATATAATTTATAATATAATTTCAGGTTTTGTTTTTTAACCCTGGAAAAAATAATAAACACTATTATTTTAAAGTTTGACATGTTTTTATTCATATTGACAATAGGACGATGACCATGGAAGTTGGAAAGCGCTAAGGAGTGTGTAACAACTCACCAACCGAATGGATGAGCCCTGAAAATGGAAGGTATTATAATGAGAGAGAGTGATGCTGTATCCTTGTGGAGGCTGAGGCACACGAGGAGTAAGGAAATGCATGGTGTCAAGAATACGTGAGTGATAAAGGTAGAGAAGTAATTTCTATTGAAACAGACTTGAGTACAGATCTTGGTGGAAGTAGCAAATACTTAGAAGAGGAAAAAATATCTAAGGACTGAAGAGGAGAAAGGTTCCTAGACAACATTAATTGGAATAGGGTGAATCGATCCTAAAAGACGGATGTAGATTTATTAGAAGAAACTGAGCTTGAAAAAGCGTTTACGCATGAAAGGGAATAAGACTAAAAGTTCTTTATCAATAGTCAAAAAATCAAGAAAATAAAAAACTGAGAAAGTGGTAACAAGGGATGAACTTTGGTATGGGGTATGACGGTAGCGACAAGAAATCTCTTTTCTTTTTAAAAATGAGGAATGGGCATTATAATAAATCAATCGGGCGAATGACTGTTATACCCATGGAAAAAACGGGGCGGTAGTTTTGTTAGTGTACTGTGAAACTCAAAGACGGTCAAAATCAATTATATTCGCAAAAGAAAGTACTTAAATGATCAAAAGGAAAGAGCATGTATTAATTCAATTTTTATTGTCTTCGTTTTAAGTCTGTTCGGGAATTTTATAAGTAAATTTAATATTTCATCTTGTTTATTATAATTTATATAATTCAAAAAATGTATCTTTTGGTGTGTTTTTTCACGACTGTTTTGTTTTTACAAAACCAGGGTTTAAATAAATTGACCAATTAAAACGACACCCTCGTTTTTATACTGTTCTTTCATTTTTATAGGCTTATTTCACTTACTATAATATGTAATGGCCAAGATTATATAATTCACAAAAATAAATTAACATCAAAATTTATATAATCCAATTAAACTATTGTATGTTACATAGTTAACCTCTTTTTACTTTGAACAAATATAAATAACATATAGGGGATCTATAAAATAGTTGGGGAATGCTCCAAAACTTCGAAATTAAAACAATGTA